TTCCTAGTAGACCATGCAAAAAGGGACACACATCACTTACAGTTTTAGTGTCCATAATGTAAGAGCAATTGTTCAGACAAGCATATCTGCTTATAAAGGTAGAAAACATTTATTTCCTGGATCCTAAAAAGAAACAGTACAGATGGAAAGTGACAAGCTATTTTTAGTGACAGTGATTTGCAATATTGCCACAGCAATGGTCAATGCAATGGTGAGTTTCATTTCTTTGGGATGCTTCCTCAAAAGACCAAGGGCCATTTCACCATTTCTGTTTCCTTCAGAAAGAAAAGTGGCATTCCCAAAGAGGGAAGAATAAACATGAGTAGAAGGTTGGATCATGAAAAACAAAATGTTTCTCTACTATCTAATGTTTATGGAGAGATTCTAAGACATAATGAGCCAGGACAACTGCCACGGAAATGAGTATTTGACAACATTTTAAGGGGACAGAGATTGATCGATCAAGTTTTCACAGAGAAAAAAAATCTCACTCAATATTTGTGAGAGCCAGGGCTTTCATTAAAACCATGTATAGACCATGTGAATTCAACTTCCTCCGTGTGTCTGTAGGATTCTCAAGAGGACCCATTATTTTGAGGAACAATGTATCAGGGAGGTTTAATGGCATCTACCAGAAAAATTACAATATTCAGAGGGAACTGAAGGCTGGTCCCTAGCCTCAGTAGAAAGAGAATCATAGATAAGGGTAGAAGGCAAGGAGACACAGTTGGGACTGGGGAGTAGGACTGAGCTCCTCTCACTTGTCCCCTTCTGCTCTGCTCTTGTCCCTTATGACAAAATTCTCAGAACACAGGTAGGAGGGGCTGAAACCTCCTTCTGTCTCACATACTTGCCACAGACCGAGATCCTTCCAAAGGCCCAGGGGAGTCCAGGAGGGGCCCAGGAGGGCTCCCCAAGGCAGCCTAGCTGACCTCTGTGTCTATTGTAGGGAAAGGAAGCTCCTGGCTAGTTAGCTAGGTGGAGCCCAGGCAGGAACTTGGGATAGAGCATTGTTTGGTAGTGAATGTTGTGCCCTGTTCCTGCCCTCCTCCCTTGGAAGGTCCCTTGGGAAGCAAGATGGGTGGTCAGTCAGCATGTAACTCAGCAAAGCTATAGGACCACCTATTTGAGATCTGAGGAAAGGTGATAGGGTGAGTGAACCATCCAGAGAGAGGAAGAGATCCAAAAATGTCCATGATGCTCTATTAATTATATGTCAAAGGGGACATGGAACACTGACCAATAATCTACTCACTTAAGAAGAAGGAGCTGCTCAGAAAAGTGCAAAAAATAATCAGCACATTTTGTTTTTTAAATCCTGGGCCTGTTTTAGAATATGTTGAAAATATACGCTGTGCCCAGTTTGGGACCCAGAATGGATCCTTGGATGCCATTTTGAAATTGTTATGATAAATAGATATTCTTGGTTCCAACGGGGTGGTCCTGTGATGCATTAATTTTTACTGTTTATTCTCTTGATAAGTGACATGCGGGGGCAACTTCTGGCTACACCTGAATTCTCATCATTACTTATAAGCCAAAACGATGAATAGACACAAAGACCATCCATGGGACATCGGCTGGAAGGGTGTCCTCGCAGCTCTTGCTTCCACCTCACCTATCACGTGTTTCTCCCAGGCACTCTCACACCTAGAAGGCCACTGTTTTCCCAAGGACATGCGCTGACTCGGAAGGAAAGATCCCCTGTCCTTGCACCATGTCATGCAGGGTCCTGGTGCCCATCACAGCCTGTGGGATGTGGCCCCACTCACCACACCCGCCTCAGGGTTCCTTTTCCTTCCATTGCTGAAGGTGGAGGCCAAGGTGGAGGAGCAGCTCTCGTCGTACAGCGCTGTCCTGCCGTCGTTGATGGCTGAGTTGATGGAGATGGTCCACATGCTGGAGGCGTAGCCATCACAGTTACAGTCGTCGTAGCTGCCACCGTCCCCGGAGGCCCACACGTAGATGCTGCCTTTGCCCCCTCGGCCCTGGAGGACAGGGAGAAGTCCCCCAACTCTCAGACCCGTGCTTGCTCCCACAGGGCTGCGAGTGGGAGTCCTGTCCTGCCCCGGGCCTGTCCCCAGAGGTTCTCAGGTGTGTGTGGGGGGGGGGGGGCGCGGTGTTGTGTGTGGGGGTAAAGGAGTGAAGGGGGTGAAGGGTAGAAGGGTGGGGTATGGGGTGTGGGGTGTGGGGTGGGCTTCTTTAGCAGCTGAAGGAAATGACCAGGTTCTGTTCCATCTGTCTGAAAACCACATGTTCTGGTGGAATACTGTGAGGAGGTTTTTTTCCAGGAAGGGCACAATCTAAAACGCCATTCGAATTTATAATATAAACTGGGGGTAAGTAAGGAAGAAAAGCCAACAAAAATCTCCATAAACTTTACTAATGAACTGCTTTTTGAAAAGGTTATAAAGACAGCACATGCCCAGGGTAAAAAGGCAAAGGATACGGAAAATGGGAAAAAAAAAATTCCCCTGAGATGCAATGACTGTTATTCAATCCTTATGTGTTATCTAATTCTTTCAGGCATTTTTCAGCAAAAATGTGGGTGTACACAAAGCTCATTGAGATTATAAAGGATATTTTATATAGTTATATGTTCTCTATACATTTACAGACATAGTGATTATAAGTATAAAAAACACATTTTACTCTAAAATATATGTATCTTATAGAACACATACATACACAATCACATCATACTGGAACCCTTTTAAACACAACACTATATGATATTTTACCTGTACGAGGTAAAGAAAATCTAATACGATCAAGTACACATGCAACAAAATTAGCTTTAAATATATAATGATACGCAGAATGGTTATCACAGCAGGCTTTATCACAAATACCTAGCATTGCTCTTTAGTTTAAACCTGTTCTTAGTCCTCATTTTTTCTTTTCCTGCTCTTTGTCTACTGGGATTATCCTCTCTACCTTCACAACTGAAGAGTGGGAAGGAACAGGGCTGGGGAGAGGAAGGCACCCTTGCCACAGGGGAGGTGAACAGCTGATACCCAGCTTCCACCCTCTCCACAGCCTGGCCAGGTGGCTCTAGAGCCCTCTAGGGTAAGAAGACAAGTAGAAGATATGGGCTGAGAAATCCTGTCCCTTAGTGCTCACCGGGGGTTCATGGTCTTGACTCAGTGAGTGTAAGTAAGTAAAAGTGCCATAAGGGAGACAACTGGATTATCTCCAAGATCTGGCTCCCTCCTGACATTAAGAATGATATTTTGGGGCCCTCCCTGCTGGCACAGCGGGTTGGAGCACTGCACTGTGAAGCTAAGCCAAGCTGTAGCCACTTTAATGAGAGTTCCATCCCCGCCCAGGAGGTGATCCACATGGCGAGTCAGACCTCTGCTGGCTCACCTGCTGTTCCCCTCAGTAGTGTATTCAGTGGATCTGTCTGTTCTGCTCCCCACTCTGTCTCTGATGAATCCTCTTACTGCCCCTGCAGTGGATCTGTCTGTTCTGCTCCCCACTCTGTCTCTGATGAATCCTCTTACTGCCCCTGCATCTCTGACCTGTACCCCATTTCTGTATGCATAAATAAATAAAATTAAGTTAAAAAGGACAAGATGGTGACTTGGACAATACTTAAAAAAAAAAAAGAAATGATATTTTGATTGCTTCTACAGAACTTGGAGTTAATTAGCCTGAGACTGACTGAGTAGATAAGTCTCTATCCAACAACTAGGTGAGCACCATTCTCACAGTCTTAGTAACTTTATTCTGGGAGTTGCTACAAAAATAATCAATTGTTCTTGAAACAGGACAGAAAGGGAAATGGGCTATCCTCTCTCTTTTTAAAAAGATTTATTTTTAATCTATTTTTGCATACAAGAACTGGGGTGTAGGGCAGAGGTATAGGGGAGGGTTGAATAGTCACCAGAGGCAGAGTGGGGAGCAGAACAGGTAGATCTACTGAAATAGACTACTGAGGAGAGCAGCAGATGAAACAGGAGAGGTCTGCTGTGCTATGTGGGTTAGCTCCCTGGCTGGGAATCGAACTCATGCTGCAATGGCTGCAGATAGCTTTTCCTCAGTGGTTGAGGAGAGCTTATAGTACTGAGACTTAACCCTTGTGCCACCAGAGAGGCCCCTGGCAATGGTCAATTCTTATAGTCTGTGCAGAGATCACTGTTTTAAATAGTCAGGTTTAGACTCAGTGTCAAGAAATGGCACCTGCTGAAAGTGAAATGGATTTGGGTTGGGTTGGGTAGAGGGGTGAACCCATCATCTGAGGAACTTTCTCCTGAGCCAGTCCTCAGTGGGCTGCTAATGACAGGAAGCAACATTTGCTAAAAGAAATGAAAGCTAGAAGTGTTCTCACCCTGACACTGATGGTAGACTGAATACTGATTGTGACTGATTTTGTAGGCTTCTCTGTATTCATGCCCGTGTTACAATGACTCTGCAGCCTACTTATCAAGAGGAGGTGTATATTTCCCAACTTTTGAATCTGGGCTGGATTCTTGTTGGCTTTGTGGTGGGATGTGGTAAAAAGTGGTATAAAGAGGGCCTGCTTGGTGGCATAGGGGTTAAATACGAACACTATCATGCTATCATCGCAGCAGCCTGACTTCAAACCCAGACAGGGAGCCGACCCACATGGCACCGCAGACTTCTCCTGTCTCACCTGCTGCTCCCCTCAAGTGCATTTTAGTAAATCCTCCTGTTCTGCTCTCCAGTCTGTCTCCGGTGAATTCTCTCACTCTGCCTCTCCCTCCCCCTACCCCACTTTAGCTTATCCCTTAGTTCTTCTATCAATAAACTTTATTTATTTATTTTTTTTAAAGAAAGTGGTTAAGGGCCCTCCCTGGTGGTGCAGCGGGTTAAAGCACAGCACTGAGAATCTAAAGCCGCTTCCGCATGAGTTCGATTCCCGCCTGCCCTGGAGGAGACCACATGGCGTGGCAGACCTCTCCTGACCCGCCCACTGCTCCCCTCAGCAGTGTACTTCGTCGATCTGCCTGTTATGTACCCCACTCTGTCTCTGGTGAATCCTCTCACCCTCCACATCTCTGGCCTGTACCCCAGTTCTGTATGAATAATTAAATAAATCTTAAAAAAAAAAAAAGAAAGTGGTTAAATGTTCTGTCAGTTCTGATTACAGATCTCAAGAAGTCCCATACATTCTGCTGTCTTGCAGAACTTTGATGCATCATTGGAAGAAACCTGAATTAGCTTGTGGTTTGACAACAGATAAGCCCAGTCAGATTCACAAGTCAGCTGATAGCTAACCACTTTAATACGTATGAGCCAGGCCATCCCAGATGAGCTGGTCTATAGTTCACTCACCAATTGACCTGTGATGCGTGAGTAAGGCTGCTGAGATTAGCTTAGACTGACGTAGACTGTTGGAACAACCCCACTGATCTGTAGTACCATGAACAATCTTAAATGCTTGTTATTTTAACCTATGGAATTTTGGAGCTGTTTGTTATACAGCCTAGCTCACTGACAAACAGAGCATATGCCAGTCTGTTTTGTAAGAATAAGCAGCAACCATTCATTTTATATTGGGCTGTAAGAATTATCCACAAGAATACTTTGACTTTCGGAAATATTAAATTGTGTTTTCTTACAACAAGGTTGAACACATGAAGTAATAATAATATTCTTGCTTCTAATGATTGGCTGTCAGCACCACATTGTCCCTGGCTTTGGGGGAAAAGGGCCAGCAAGGAGAAAGTTCTATGCAAGCCTATGTGGCATCATCATTTATGCCAGCCACATGAAAGATTCAATACTTATGAAGAAACAAAAACTAAAAAAGTGAAAAGAAAGATAAGTTTGAAATAAGACTTGGAAACTCCATGGAGGTGCAACGATGAAGATTTGACTCAATGGAAAGATAGCTTTCGTGCTCTTGAAAGATGGAGTACCACAGAGATGTCTATTTTCCCCAAGTAAACTTATCAATTTGACATCAGTCTAACCAACCTAATGTACCCATGGAGATTCAGCCAGGCAAATATAGCCACACAGGGCTATTCAACAGAGTGGGTTTTATCCAGGGAACAAGTGGTAAAAAAAGTTCCAAGCCCCAAATAGGGCTGGAGGTTACCTAAAGATTTCAACTCTCTAAGATCCCACAGGGTAGGGATGAGGAGAGATGGCCTAGGCCTGAGCTCTGGCTGGAGCTGGGGTGAGGGACTGTCTGCTGGGGTCTCCTGCTCTGCTCTGTGACACATACTCTGAGGAAAGAGGAACAAGCAGGCTATTCTGGCTGGGCTGCATGTTGGCCTTAAGTGGCCGTCTCCCTTCTACGGTTCCTCCCACTTCTTTTTTTCAAAAAGAAGGCTCTACATATAGATGAATCATGGGGTGCAGTTCCACTTTGAACTTCCTTGCATCAGTCTCTCTTTGGACAGTCTGCCTCTCAAAAATTTCCACCAAGTGAACAACATTCATTGAGACACAACCATGGCATTTAACCACTATGGCTCTGAAACAGGTGTGTTTTTTTTAAAGATTTATTTATTTATTCATACAGAACTGGGGTACAGGCCAGAGGCTCAGGGGCAGTGAGAGGCTTCACCAGAGACAGAGCGGGGTGCAGAACAGGCAGATCGACAAAGTACACTGCTGAGGGGAGCAGTGGGCGGGTCAGGAGAGATCTGCCACACCGTGTGGGTCACCTCTGGGGAGGACGGGGATTGAACTCATGCTGAAGCGGCTTTAGCTTCTTAGTGCTGTGCTTTAAACCTCTGTGCCACCACAGAGGGGCCTGAAACAGGTGTTTTAAGCACCAGGAAGCTTTTGGCAATGTTGGAGACACTGTTAGTCTCATTTGTCTTTCACTTATTCCTCTCCCCGCCTATGATCACCTACTAGGAAGAGACCAGGGAACTCACTAAATCTTTACAATGCATAGGGTGCCCCTTTCACCTCCCTGTGAAAGGAAATGTGGCCTGAGTATCACCAGTGTTAAGGCTGAGAAATTTACTCTAAGGATAGTGAGCTGGAAATTGCCGGTTTTATT